CCGGAATCGAGATCTTTACCGTCGGGCCTCGAGTCACCAGGCGGACGCAGACTGGTGTCGGCGGAGAGGGGACCTACTGAGCAGGACGTCGGTGTTTCGGCATGGGTCTAATGCTATTCTGTCAATACACGGCCCCAAGGCCCAGACTCTCGTGTTGGTTCGAAGCACACATAGCTAGTGGAAACCACCAGATCTCGTCAGATTTGGGGACGACGAACGAAACAGCCAGCCTGGACCGCAATGCGTATACAAGGGTTGAATCCGTATGAGTTCGTGGGTGCATTGAGGCCACTGACGGTTCGGGTGGAAACGATGTAGGATAACATCATTCATGACGTTCCAGCAGCACCTTCCTCCTAATTCCCCCCTCTTCAGATCTTCAGAAGCTCCCACAACACGGGCCACATCGCAGAACAAGCGAGAAACCGATGTCATTGTGCTGAGCCCTTCGTTCATAGCAGCCGTTGAGAAACGCGAGCGGCTCCTACCGCGGCCCTACCACCGTTGGTCACAAAAGGAATTGACGACATGGAAGCGAAATGCAATGATTAAAGATTTGCTTTGTTAGTTTCGCTAGGCTGATAATGCCAGGGGTTGGAGCTGGTTGGCTATGCGGTCACCGACGCTCATCGCCCTTTCTTCGGTCTAGATGCGCAACATGGGATGTCTGGGGAAGGAGAGAGTGAGAGCGGCGCCCGTCCCGTATGATGCTTTGCTCTTTGGGGCATGGTGTCACTGTTGAGATGAGGTGAGGCATGTCGTCATCACGTGTGATGCTGGGCGGTCCCCAAGTCTAACCGCAGCAGCTACCACCAGCGCGTCTGCAAAGAATGCGTGAGCCTCTTTTTGGTTCGGGCCAAACGTACGTATGGGTCGGGGGTACGAATCCCTTGGCGCACCCTGATTGCCTGCCTGCCTGTCTGCCTGCCCCCCAACTCGAGGCTGAGGCGAGTTTGCGCATGAGAATGTGGGCTGCAGTGATGCAGGTGGCGGGCAGTTGCTTCATGGAAAGTGCCGTTGAGCGTTTAAGCGAAGAGCTCTGTTCGTCTAGCAGCCGCGATGGAGGGGGAGTGCTAGAGAATGAGAGCGGGAGAGAAAGCTCTGGTCGCACGATGATGATAGCTGTGGCAAGGAATGAGGTAGAAAGGATCTAGACCATTGTGTGAGAGGAGCCCCCCCATTCCTCAAAGACGGAGACCCAGACCTTAACGTCAGGGTTGGGGAGCCGCATTCCAAAACGTCAAAACAATGTGTCAATCTGAAGATCCAGAAGAAAGGGTCCTGCCGGATCTCGACGTAGGCGTGTGTGTTTCTCGGTTCGGTCAGGTCTGGGTCTGGGGCAAAAAAGGCGATATGACTGGGGAAGGAACGTGTGGTGGTGCTATGAGGTCGTCGCGCGTGTCGTTTCCCGTCCTGTGACGGAATGAGCCAGCGTTTGAGGAAAAGGGGGGGAGTGCGAACTGCAGTGTGACGGAGCATTCTGCCAAAACGCTACTAGGTAGGCGGAACTGAGGGGAGGGGACCAGAAAACGCTGCGTCCACCGACGTGATTGGTCGAGAGCTGCTGCACTGGGCTCCGACCGTCGGGGCAGGGGTGCGTGTGTGACATCATCGGGTGCCGCATCAGTGGCGCTGCGTGACTTCAGAGGACACCTGATTGGCAAGACCTGACGACACTCTCGACGTAGCTCGAGGCAGGGCCGCACATCCAAACGGCGAGTTAGACGTAGAGAATAGCTTCGGAGCATGGTGAGTTCCGTCAGCCTTGACGTCTGTGTGCTCGTGTGAGGCTGTCGTCGTCGAGTCCGTCTGACTACGCAACTACGGTCGGTCTCTACGGCGACACTCCCTCCTGCCACACGATTTCTTCTGCAGAGTTCCATCACGTCCCGCCCCCGGCCGTCCGTCGCCCATCCTGACGTTTACGGTCCGGCTACGTACCGGCAATCTTCCGTCAGAGCTGTCTGACTTCTGACAGAGAGAGTCTTTGCCGCACTCCAAGGGAGGCTGACAATCCGTTACTGAAATCGTTCTAGACCGCCCGAACCTACACACACAACCACCACCACAAGTGAACCACACAAACAATTGGGACACAAGCACTCATCCCCGCTGTTTCGCTGGCTCGCAATTGCTCCAAATGTGTCTCGTTGCGTCGGATCTCAATTTCATGTGGGTTGATGCCCGCTGGATTTCTCTCACCTGGGAAAACTTCCGAGAATCTCTCGGTGAGGGCTGATTTGAATCGGCCGGATCTGATGTAGCACCACCCCGGTACACATTTGCTCGTCCGCCTCCCGGCTCCGTGATGTTCGACGAAAGAGCGGAGAAATCCCGACTGTTCCAATTTTCTCCAACCTGCCAGAATCTGCAATGCACCACGGTCCCTTTCTTTTCGAATCTGACGTACCAGGCGGTTGGCTCCTGCCCCCAACCGTATCGGAGAGGTCTAGATCCGGTGGACCATTGCCGTCTAGGAGGGTGAGGGGCAACGTCAAGCCACAACCCTGACGCTGGCCCCGACGTGGGTGCTGAGGCCGTCGTCGGATGAGGGAATTAAACGAGGGGAAAATAGAACCATCCTTTTCTCGGAGGGGGGAAATGGGAAATTGGGGCCCAAGAGCGCCGAAACCCCAATCTTGCGGCCATGGCAAATGCGCAGAATCCCATGCTGGCGGTAACTGGGTGGGTGGGCGACGCCGCCGCCGCTCCAGGGGCCAAGGGCTCACGATGCTCAGGTCCAGTCGGTACGTATCGCTGAGATCTGGAGGGCATTTCCACAGAACACGGAGATCTTACCAATGAGAGGCCGTCCTGGGGGTGGAGGCAAGACTGAGAATGGCTTCACTTGTCGCGGCCAAAATGGACGTCCAAGTCGTCTTTTGGGGTCCGTGCTTCTGTCCCCTGGGATACGTACCCGTCCATAGCAAGGAAGTGGAGGGTAAACGGACGGCACTGACGGTCAGCAGCAAGACACGGATCCACACTCGCAAACGACCACACCCGGGGTCCGGCCGACGACTGAGGCGCACCGGCCAATGACGTCTGCTCCACCCGCCGATCTTTGACGACAAGTCTTGCTTGGCTACTGCTTCTTGGCCGCACCGTTGCCAACCCTCTCTCTCTTTTGCTGCTGTTGCTTGTCTCTCTCGCCGGCCTTTCTGTGTGAGGCGGCGCACACTCACCCCAATCTACTCTACACCTGCGCTAGACGAGAAATGGCTACTCTCCGCTGCTTGCTCGCCTCCACTGTCTCGTTCCTTGTCATGTCAAACCACTGACTGCCAGTGTCTCTGGTCAAGTGCCAGTAGCGCGTGTCTCGTCTTGTCGTTGACCACCTTGATTCTTCTTTCTTGCTGGCCGCCTGCTTTCTTGCTTGTGACCGCTGGCCCCGTCCGCCGTAGCGTTGCTTGCGGATGCTTCTTTTATTGCACTTGCTTTCGGGTTTTTTTTAATGGGATTCCCCCGTACCATTCTGCGCTTCCCCTGGCGGGCGAGGTACAAGCGAGAACCCACACCTCCCGTCGAGGGTGGTGTTGGTGGTGGCCTCGGCGGAAGGTTTCAAGCTTTCGATAATTCACTTCTTAATCCGCCATGGGATGGGCAAATCAAGGGTCCAACACATGCGTGCCGGCGGAATCTCGTGAGGGGCACGATACCACGACAACACAAGACACGATAATCCCTATCGCTTGCGTCCTGTCTCTGTTGCCATCTTTCACAGGTGGGTGGGACCTGCCGCCGCCGCCCGGTCCATCCCCGTCTGGGAAATCCATCCTGCCTCTCAGGGTCCTATTCAGAGACGTAGAGAAGAGCTGCAAATGTGATTGCCCATCTTCGTTGCCTCAAACTCTCTCCCCGAGCGAAAGAAAGGCCCCTCACGGGCACGAAGCTCAACAGCTCACCCCCAAAAAGAGGAGAGATGTGGCCAATAATGACATGGCTTGTGACTTCAGTCTGGACACAGGATCAGCAGGGTCTTTCCGTTCTTGAACCCGGCGGCGCCTCAAGCACACCTTTCTGCGTTCCCGCGCTACGGCACCCTGTGCTGCTGTTTTGTATCAACGTACAGAGAGCACCGCTCACTGCATCATCCAGCCCTGTAGTACCCGTGGCGAGGAGGGGGGAGGAATGAAGAGAGCATTTGCTCGCCTAGCTGGCCCTTCCGCCATACGGACCACGAACCCCCCGGCTACCAGTTACGCCATATCGTGCAGACCTCAGCCCGGGGGGTCACCAGTAACACTAAGATGCCCATCAATCACCGCCGATCCCTTGCGAATTGGGATAAGGCGGGATATGCAGCAGCAGCCTGCGCGGATGGGAGCGCTAGCGACGGAGGATGAGGGGAGAGGGAAAGGAACTGACGGTCGGTCTCATGTCTCCCCAGCGTCTGTCTCTGCGCCTCTGCCTCTCAGACCCCCCCGCCGCCGTCGCCGCCCCCCGAGCCCCAAAAGGGGGGGGGGGGGGTGGTAAGGTGAGGTCAGGGTAGGAGGGGTGCAGCACCTAGGGGGGTGCCGAAAGGTCCCAGTCCCGCTAGTGACGGACCCTGTGTTTTGCCTGACGGGTTTGCGTTGCTCTGCTTGCTCACCTCACACCAAGCCTGCGCTACCGCACCCACGCAACCCCATCCTGCCCAACTTTTCCCTTCCTTACGTCTGTGTTCACCTCTTCTCCACGACAAGGCTTGCCGCTGCCGTGTGCCTGGCCTGCGCGACCCTTTCGCCCCTCTTATTTTCATTTATAAACCCAGGGCCATTCCTGCCTCCTACCGTTTTCCGTCTCCCGTTTCATCAGCATCAGCTTAGAATTACCAAACCAAGCCCGCACCGTCAAACCAACAACCACTTCTCTATCAATTTATATCAAAGCTACAAATCAAAGCTCACATACAACTCTCAACTACACATCTCTCATATACAACCCCTCGGTCAATACAACTTGACCAACTCACCAAACCAACACCAATATTTTCAAACGTCTTCATGAGCCCTTCCACCATGCCCGCCCGCCAGGACGCCTACTCCGTCTCCATCCCCATCTCTCCCCCTCCCCCGAGCGATCTGTCAACCTACATGCGCTCGATGCACCAACACACCAAGCGCCAGATGGAGGCTGCGAACCGCTCATCGTCGCGGAGATCGGGTGGCCGCACTTCCTACCCCGGCCACTCCAACGGTCACTCTAGCCCCGACTACAGCTCATAAATGGGTCTTTAATTACGCGTTATACAACAGTCGGCCCTTTGAGGTTGACGCTTCATGCCTTGCCCTGGCTGTCACATGATTCCAAGGCATCGGCTCCGACATTTCAGAGAGCGAATGCGGCGAACTGAAGCAACTGGCACGAGGAGGATAAAACACGAGTTTGAGGCGTACGATTTGCGACCGGTACAACTGTTACGGTCAACACCCGCAACGAAGCATTGGAATGGCGCGAAATATATGTTTTTGATTGTTCATGTTTTTTTATTTACAGCCAAGCCGAGATTTGGTTCTGGTTTTCGCAAGGCGTTGGGGACAATATATGGGCAGATCAATACTGTCTATGATTTTACGAATAAATGAAACTTTCAATCGTTACTACCAACAATGGCACTGTCTTGCAACCGTGATTGTGATATGTATAATCGCGAATATTTCAATGCCATTTCTCTAGTCAGCAGGTACTGTCGGTGCCATTGGTAATGTGGTTGATATGATGAATTATGTTGCCTGTCTACTTAGACCACACTAACGATATGCTCGGTAGTGTCATTGATTTTGCTTGTCCAATGCTGAATCTTAGTCGTCACCGTTTCACTACCTCACTTCTGACAATTAGTACCAAAAATTCCAGACAGGAACATTAGTCACAATCCTAGCCTTGCGACTAGTCGTACGTCCATCTAACCAACATCACAACAAACTATTTTCCCTAGCCTCGATTCCGAAGCTCAGTACAATCCCCGTCTCGATCGGCTCGTCCCCAAATCGCCCCCCTCCTTGCCCCCCATCTCCGCGTCACTCTCCCGAAAGCTCACATGCCACCAAAAAGCTTCACACACAAAATCAATCTTACAAGCTCACAAGCTCACAAGCTCACAAGCTTAAACAAAAATGACTGCGCTACGCCAAGCTGAGCACGCAGCATGAAGAAGCAGGGCGCCTATTACCGTAAAGATCCACAGTCCCTCAGTTCATAGACGGGGCGATTTAGAGTTCACCGTGCATAGATGCATACCCAGTGTCGTCAGGGGAGGAAGAAGAGGAGGGTGAGGTAGGGCGCCTTGCATAGCATTCATGGAATGTCACCGAAGGCGAAGGGTGCAAGCGAACGAAGGTCGAGAAGTGACGTCTAATTTCTCCAAACTTGACGTGCAGAGTCTATTCAGCCCATCCCCCACCGACGAACGGGCCTCGACCGTCCCCTCGGTCCGCACACCATTGCCTAACAATCATTACGCCGGAGTCCAAATGCCATAGGTCGCCTCGTCTGTGCGACGCCTCTCTGTTCCGAAACGCCATGCCCCCCAACTTTAATATTCCCAGATAATCAAACACCAACCATCCATGTGTGCGCCGGCCGCGCGATGACGTGCAGAAGCCTCAGCCTCGCCTGCAACATGACGGCAGCCTTCCAAATCTTGCATCAGCCGTACCCTCGTCTCACTCACACCAGCGAGGGTTTCTTCTTGATGCCCAACGCCGCAGAGTAGTCCTTCTTTTTCTTGACCGTCCTCTTGGCGGGAGGCGGAGGCGGCGGGGGCATCGACGAGGTATCCTTAGCCACAGTCTCGCTCTTCGCCGTTGACGAGGACGCAGACGAACCCGCCACCGGCTCCTCCACAACATCGTCCTCAATAATTTCCTCCCCAAGATCCGCAGCAGCGCGTTCCCTGGCAGCAGCGAACGCCTTCCTCGCAGCTTCGTCGTCCTCCCTCTCCCACCGCGCCTTCTCCTCGTCCTCGGGCCTGACGACATAGTCCGCAAAGTCGACGCCGTCCTTCTCGGACCGCTGGATGCGCGCGTTGCGCTGCCGAATCTCGTCCAACGCGTCGGCCGCGGCCATCTCCCTCCGCGCGTCCTCATTTTTGGCCTCCAGGTCGGCCATCGCATTGCGCTCCTCCTCGCCCGCGGCCTCGGCCTCCTCGCGCTCGAGTCTGTCCAGGCGCTCCTCGACGGATTCCTGTTCTTCCTCCTTGTTGCGCCAAGGCTCCATGTTCCGCACGGCGCCCTTGACCATCATGTAGCCTGCCGACTTGGGGTCGGTACGGAAAACGATCTCTGAGGAGCATCTGGTGCAACGGATCGAAAAGCGGTGTATTTGGATGCCCAGATAGCGTTCTTCCTGGTGCGTCTCTTTTCTGGAATTAAATTTACGACCTTTATAAATATATTCGCCGCAGGAGGTGCACTTCATCGAGTAGGGCGCCATTATTCTGACCGTCTGGCACTTGGGGCCCGTCGACTTGAGGCCACGCTTGCGGGTGATGTCCGCCGGGTTGAAATCCGGGGGATAGTACTTCTGGAGAACTTTTCGCTCGGACATGATAGGCGATTCGGTGTGTGTTGTGGTTGTGGTTGGCGCACTGTCGTGGGAGTCGCTGGTGAAGAGGTGTTGAAGATGTCGCGATAAAGCTGCCTGCACTTGCCCAAGCTAACTTCGATGGTTGATGGATGACAAAGGTGGGGCACGGACGGTACGTGAGACCCACCTTACAGACGGCCCTTGGAACTCCGGCGGATTAGAAATTCCGAAATACATTAACGGTTTCGCAACAACAGCCAGTTTCCGTTTTCTGAGCATTTTCAACGTTTCAGTCATGGACACTGCCGTCCGCGGCGCAAAGACATCTCAGAATTGAGCATCTTTCTGCTTCATATCACAAGCAATTAATAAGTCCGCAATTGTCCACGTCGCTTCATCTGGGTACTCTCTCACCTCGTAGGAGCTACCTCCGGTTTCCAGGGGACCAACCTGAACGCTAGCCAAAGTCAAACCCGCGCTGTCGGCGTCGTCCGGCGACAAGCCTCACCAATCTCCATCTGACTCCCGACTTTCCCTGTCCGCACGTGCAGAACCAAGGTCTACCGTCCATCGAACCTGATCACGCGCAGCAGAGCCCGAGCTTCTCGAACTTCCCGACATTCATGGAATTCCTTCTCCAACTCGGGCACCAACGCAACCCCCAACTCAAATGGTCGTCCATCGTCGACGGCCGCCGTGGGCTGATGAACAGGGCAGACATGGATATGCCCAGAAGACGAAGGAACTGAGGGGTCGACGTGACACCGTTTGGCCGCTGCAGAATGCGACACTGAATGGGCAGAAAAAGTTGAGGGCACAGGGGATGAAATTGTCGGATATGGCATCCTTGATCGTCCAGCCTCGACCCGAGGGTGCTCCACTGTCGATCTTGCTCGTTCCAAGGTTTGAGGACGGCTGGGGACCGAAAAGTTGGCAGCGTCGTTGATTCCGTCCCGCGAAAACAGGGGTCCATTGCATGCGCGTCTCAACACCGCTAGAGCAACGCGCAGGACAGCATCGTGAAAAAGCAAGACGATGGTACTCTGTTCCCGAATGGTCCGTGAAAAGGGGTCCTTGGACTAAGGTACGCCTCAACAGCCGGTTGGTCATGAATCACCACCCGTTGCATCGGGATGCTCGTACCACTCGCAAAGACCATAGTCTGCGGGTTCAAAACCGGAATCATCACGCAAGACCTATTGACCTTGTAGAGGCCGAGAGACACAGTTAAGCAGCCCTACTGCTCTCCGGTCGGTGGATATTTGCATCGTGGGATAAAGCGAGCACGACTGCTGGGCTCACCGAGCATCATCCCATCGCGTTTGACCGCTCACCCGCCATAAAGTGATCGTCGCTGCGCGATTCCAATAATTTCAGTCTCCTGCAGATGGATCCTGCAGCCACACAGTCTGGCGTTGGCCGAACGGTTCGACATCAGATGGGGAATCAAGGAATCCCACTGACCCCCAGCTCGCTCCTGGCTCCTTGTCAAACTTTAAAAGATATTGCGGGTCTACGGACCAAGTTCTCAGTCAGTCAGCCACGCCTTTCCTCCTTTCAAGCGCCCTCTTTCACGCCCACCTCCAGCATTTCGGCCAAGAGGTCCCATTTTGTTGCCGCCTCGTCGCTTGAAGCCCTGGCAACCCCCCTCAAACCCCCACAGATGAACCTCAAGTGCCTCTCGAAATCCATTTTAATCTCCCGCAGGCTCTCGAGGTAGCCCTTGCCCCTGTTAAGGGTGCCCCTTTGGGCCCTGTCCCCGAGACCCTCCGTTCCGTCATCGTCACTGTCTTCGGTGTAAACGACCGGTTTTCGCCGGCGAGGGCTCGCTTTCATCGGCGAGGACATGAGCGACAAGCGGGACAGCTCCTGCGCCTCCTCCGCCTCCTCGGCGGCACTGGCGCTTTGCGCGTCTTCTAGCTTCGCAGCCAAATCCATTATGTCCAACGTAGCACCCCGTATGGGATCCAATTTCCTGCCGAGACACGCCGCGTCAACAACCTGCTGCACGAAGGCTGCATGGACTCTGATCATGGCATCGACGTCATACGCGTCTCGTAGATTCCGCCGCAGCCGTTCTGTGTAAGGTGCTAATACCAATGTGACAAGGTATGTCTGGATGCAGTTGCAGAACCACATGAGCTTTGAGCGGAGAGAGTAGTACAGAGCCCTGTTGCCCCAGATCTCCCTGTGGGTTGCGAGTTCGTCTAGGATGCGGTTACGTTGCAGCAGACCGGCGGCACGTCGGATCTGCATTAGCAGAGTGAACACCGCCTGGTAATGGACTATCGTATCTGGGGTCACCACCAGCTGTACGGGCCAAGGCAATCGATATTGGAGAACGATCTCTGGCAATGCCTTCTGAACCTGGTCGCGAGCAGCGACGACGGACACTTTCTGACCTTCTTGGCGGACGTTGACGACAATACGAGTCGAATCCACGCGTGACATGAAGGCCTCCTGCGCCAGTCCGGTCAGGGAGTATCTATCATGCCAGTCAGGCCGAAGGGCGTCTAGCCTCGTAAAGATCCCTTTGCAAAATGTGTCTGCGGCAGATCCGTCGGCCATGAGATACAGATACGTCAGGGCCTCGATACCTGCCTCAAGCTTGCAGGAGTCGAACAAAGCCTGTTTCAACGTCTCGGATGTGGCGTGATACTTGCTTTGCATCCAAAGATTGAATGCGGATGTGAAGAGCTCAGGGAATGGCGCAAGTTCCAAGCCGGTTGGGCACACAGAGGCGAACGTGAGAGGTGGCTCTACTTCCGCCCACAAAGCCCGAACCGACTCGTACTTGCCGAGGTGTTTGAGGACGACAATGCTCTTGCCAGCCCGGAATATCTTGTCAACACTAGGCTGAAGAAAGCTGGGAGCGTGAAGGACACCGTCTGATGTTCTCCTGAGTTTGAACTGTTCTTGCCAGACCTGCCGAAGTGGGACTTGAGTGGATGACTCCGATACAAAGAAGATTTTGTCTCCTGTAATCAGCTGTCCCTCCGCCATCCATAGACGAATCGGCCGCAGATAAACTTGGAAACAGTTGAAGAATATTTGGCCTAGAAAGTCATATGTCGTGCTGCGACCGGACAACTGGGCGACGCCGATCTCGTCGTAAAGGAGCTCCAGGTAACGGAACGCGCCGCCGTTTGCCGGGTCGTAAAGCTGCCGAACGATTTCAGAGAGGGCTCTCAGGGGTTCAAGGTGAGGCCTGAGCTCTTCAAGAATGGCCGCCATGCTGACGACCGTATCTTCGCGCGGGACTGACAGACGCTGGTGAATATCAGATATTCTTGTGTCAAATGTTCGTAGGCTTGCGAGAACGTTGTCACGGAAGACCTGGAAAAGTGGTGCATTCTGGGCCTTCTTCGCAAACGTCCGTAACAGTGACATCTGGCGACCCGTTTCGGCGTATGCGTTTATCAATGCTTTGTAGGTATCCCATGTGATATTCGACATCTGGTAGGCAGGATCGGGAGTTCCGTCCTTCTGGAAAAGTGTCGTAGGGAGGCCTTGCAACATAAATAGCACCTCTCTTGTCGTTTGGAACTCGGTGACAGGAATCTTGTGCTGCCGACCAGAGGGCGCCTTTTCAACTTTCTGTCTCCACGCTTGACTTTCTTGCACTTCTTTGAGGGCAGCATCATCCGCGGATGCGATTTCAAAGTCCTCTGGCCTCCTGCCGACTACGACATCGGCACCAAACAGCGACGTATCATCGGTCTCGCTTGCGATATCTGATTTGGAGTCGATGTATTCGTCGGCCGATCCGTCGCTGTAGTCGATGGACTTCCATATATCGGGATCATCGTTCCAGCCATCCTCCTTGGCGATGTCCTCCCACCTGAGGGGCGGCTCAGCATCTCCATCTGGTTCTCGCAATACCTCTAGGTCGATCAATCGTGTTTTCTGTGTTGGTCGGTCGGCAAGCTCGAGAAGAAAGTGCAAAATATCTGGTGTCCATTTGGTGCGGTGCTCCTCCAGGGCATTTTTGCTTTCTCTAAACGCATCGGCCAAGCCTTCACGATGGTGGACCCGGAATCGCTCCTCGAGCCCTACAAGCTGGTTTTCGACATCGAATTGGTTGGTTCGCAGGAAGTTGTTGTACCTCAATGTGCGCAGCGATGATTCGCGCAAGAGATTGAACTTCTGCCGGCCGATCTGCTTGCCACGGTGTTAGCAGTGGACGGGCCGAGCTGCATTGCATTGCGTACAGCTTCAAGATGGGATGAACAGTCTCACACCTTGTCGGGCGTCGATGTGATGACCTCGACAAGCTCGTCCGTCAGAGCGGTGAGCTTGGCGAGAAAGGCCATGATCTGACTCCGTAAATAGACCGTCGACGGGTGTCGTCGGGGCTCAAATCATGGGAGCGCGAAGAAGCGCAAGCATGAATACAATTTGCTGGTGCTACCGGGAGACGCGTTCAGTGTTGAGTTGCTCGATGAGGACGCGCCGGTAGACGACACTGCAGTTCCATGCCCGGAAGGAGGGGGGCGGGGGTGTTGGGCCTCCTTATGGATGCAGTTACAGGGATTGGATAACGAAAGCACCCGCCATAGGCCGCATGCTGGACGCTAATTGACAAATTTCATGGGGTGACATCAGCCTCAACCAGCCAGCGACCGGGACAATTGCTGCAGCGCCCCTTTTCGAAATTTACGCGTAAGAAATCTGGCCTAGCCAACACCGATCAACACTTCTCCCTTTAACTCCAACGACGACCCTCAAAACGACGGCACGAGCCGCGACCGAGAATTTCCCACCAAAACGGACGACACGACTCGGCTCTTCCACTAGCCCTCCACAATCGCGCGAACCTTCTGCTGACGACGGTCCACCGACCAAGAGACGCGGCAGACATAGCCTCAAACCCTGTGTCCACGAGTTCGATTGCGACTTTGCATTCCACATTACGCCCAACATGGCGGTCGCGCGGCCAGTTCGAGCTCTGGCTCTAGCCGCCGTGATGCTCTGGTGCTTCTTCCTCTATCAGATCTTTGGCCCCGAGAGGCCGATAACGAAGCCTGTGCGCTACGATAACGGGCGAGACCCCAACCTAGATCGTGAGCTGCCTCTACTGCCCTTGGTTGCTCATTGGCGGCGCTAACCATTGTGACATCAAACAGCTACCGGCGAACCCTCGGGTGTACTAACGTATGCCTCCGACAAGTATGCCCCAGGCATTGCGGACTCTGCGCGCATCAACGCCACCCTGCTGGCGTTGGTCAGGAACGAGGAGCTGGACCAGATGATCGGGTCCATGGTGGACCTCGAGAGGACCTGGAACCACAAGTTCAACTACCCCTGGACCTTCTTCAACGAGGTCCCCTTCACGGATGAGTTCAAGAGGAGGACTCAGGCGGCCACCAAGGCCGAATGCAGATACGGTACGCTATTGCTGTTCGCCATGGTTCAGTGCTCGTTCTAACCGGCTTTTCGCAGAGCTCATTCCCAAGGAACACTGGGAGATGCCGTCGTGGATCAACAAGGATCTCTACGAGGAGTCTGTCAAGATCCTCAAGGAGAACGACATTCAGTACGCCGATAAGGTCTCGTACCACTCCATGTGCCGCTGGAACAGTGGCATGTTCTACAGACATCCCGCTCTGCAGCACACCAAGTACTACTGGCGTGTTGAGCCCAAGGTTCACTTCTTCTGCGACGTTGACTACGATGTCTTCCGTTACATGCAAGACAACAACAAGACCTATGGTTTCACCATCAACTTGTACGACGCCCCCAAGTCCATCCCGACGTTGTGGCCCGAGACTGTCAAGTTCCTCGCGCAACATCCCGAGTACATCCACGACAACAATGCCATGGCTTGGCTTACCGACAAGGCTGGTCGTCCCGAAAACAACATCGACGCTAACGGCTACTCAACCTGCCATTTCTGGAGTAACTTTGAGATTGCAGACATCGACTTTTGGCGCAGCCAGGCTTACGAGGACTATTTCAACCACCTGGACCGTGCCGGAGGTTTCTTCTACGAGCGATGGGGAGATGCTCCTGTGCACAGCATTGCCCTGGGTCTTTTCGAGGACAAGTCCAAGATCCACTGGTAAGTGACGCAACGACATGTATGCGACCGACCACAACTGACCCGCAATAGGTTCCGCGACATTGGGTACCAGCACATTCCCTTCTTTAACTGCCCCAACTCTCCCAAGTGCAAGGGCTGCGTCACCGGGCGGTTCACCGACGGCGAGGCTTGGCTGCACAAGGACGACTGCCGTCCGAACTGGTTCAAGTACGTCGGCATGGACTAATTGGCCCTCGCATAGGCCTGCTTCCTGTTCTGTACTTTTTTGGTTGGCAACAATTGGGGATTTGCTAGGGAGCATCTGGGTACTGACGGTGTTGGGCGTCTGCGGAACATCCATACGTGTGTAGAGTACCACGGGGTCAATGACGGATATGACCTTGCATGATTTTGAGACATTTTTGCTAGAAATTGGGGCTTCTAAATGAAAAGCCCTGTACAAAGAGCATCTCATTTCCATGATCTATAACTTTATAACGAGCCAAAAACAGTCGCGACGCCAGACGTGCCGCCGACACAGAACTGGTCTCCCCATCCGTCATCTCGCCAGGCCATGCAACTAATGACATTGCTCCTCTCCTTCTCCCTTCCGTCCTTCCCAAGCACTTTCTTTTTGGGTTCATAGCCTTCGGGCCATGGGACCTTGACTGTCGCGACAAGCTTGCCGGTCAACAAATCCCAGGTCCAAATCTTGCCCTCCCCGTTTAATCCTGCCGGCCCAGTACCGGCAGTCAACTCGTCTCCAGCTATCACATACTTCTCCTTCCCTCCGAGGACGCTCTGCACACGCAGCTCTTCGTTCTTCCATCCAGCATCCTCATAAGTCTTCAAGCAGCTACCGCTGTCCCGATCCATCAGCCGGATCTTGCTATCGAGCGAGCCCACCAGCATCGCCTTGCCATCGCGCGTGAGCTTCAAACTCGTGACACTCGCCCCCATAGTATCAGTAATGCACTTCCCCATCCTCACGTCGTAGCTCCTAACCCGCCCGTCAACGCTGCCCGCGACAATCTCTGCGTCTCTGACGACAAGCGCCGTGACGGAGTCCTTGGCCTCGTCCATCACCTGCACCGGCTTCGCAGAGTTGGATTTGCAGTCCCAGACCCGCACGCTGGTGTCGAAGCCCGCCGAGATGACAAGCGAGTCCCCGTCCCCGCCGAACGCGACGCAGTTGATGCGCGAGGAGTGGCCGTGGACGTTGCCGCCGAAGCGGCGCAGGGTCGTGGCGGATGCGACGTCCCACAGGAAGACGGCGCGGTCGCCGCCGCAGGAGGCGAAGCGCTCGTTGTCCGCCGCGACGGCTAGGTCAAGTACTTCATAGCCATGTGAGGCATAGCTCTGGATCATGCGGCCCTCGGGCACGCGAGGAGCGGTTCTGGTGGTGAGGTTGGAGGTGTAGCGGGGTTGGGCGTCCTGGGTTGCTGGGTTGTACAGGCGGATGGTGCGGTCTGCGGAGCCGGTGAGGATGTAGGTACCGGGAGACGAAGAGTATGTAACAGCATGGACGGGGCCTTGGTTTTGTGAGTCAGTAACTTGGCGACTTGAAAGATATGAGTGCGAAGGTATTCGCATCTCAAAGTCGTGTCCCGGGTTTGCGACTCACCATTCGAGCCCAGCAAGTGGGCGACAGGTCTGTCAGGAAATGACATCTTTAGCGGTCGGCAATACGCCCATTACGAGGGGGAAATAACTCCTGGCCAGCGATCTTTCATGACTCGAAAAAATGAAAGTCTTATCGCAGTTTTTTCTTACGCGCGCCCTTTCATGTAAGTTGTTAGTGGTCATGCTCGTTTGAAGAGGTAGATAGAGTGACCCTCTGGATCCTCGCTTTAGTGCATAAATGTATACGGTGAGATTGACTCTGTGAGACTCTACATCACCCCCACCAAAGTCAACGCGAGAAATTAATGAACGAGAGATTGAAGTGAGTGACGTGAGAGATGGAAATCCAAGCGTCTGATATCTGCGAAACTTCGTGCAAGAGGAAACCTCAGTGGGCGAATTTGGCGGGCACATTGTGCAAGCTTTCTAGCACAGATTTGCACCTGAATTTGCAACAATGGCCGGTTGGCCCAATGGCAAGGCGTCTGACTACGATTCCATCGTGCAATCAGGAGATTCTGGGTTCGACCCCCAGGCTGGTCAATTTTTTGCTTTTTTCATCTTCCTCTGTGAATAACAACTGCATGGGTGTTGATCCTTTTCTAACAACGTTTTAGTAAGAATGCCTATGTTTCTTGTGCTTGAGCGACTATTTCCCCTTGAGGCGCATTGGCACCTTGATCTAGTGATTGTCATCGTCGTTATGTCTAACACTGTCCTCGTGCCTTATACCTAACGTCGTTCTTGATGAAAGTAAACCGAAGTTACTGATCCATTATGAGTAGACAGTAAATAAAGTGGCATAGACTTAGGATAATCAGCCGGCATCTTTGTGGGTGGTTCTGCTGTTACTTCCCGCAGAGGAGGAAGTGCATGATTGACTTGCGCCGCGATGCCTCGAAGTGGATGGCGGAAGTTCTCTGACAACCTTTCCCACGATGGTCAGAATCCGTCAACTTTGACATGGTTTCAAGATCTTGCAGTGCCTCTGCGAAGCGAGACACGGCAAGCGAGACAGCTTCTGGATTGCCTGTGTATACGAGCCTGAAGCATCCTGGCACTGGTGACATGGACATCTTCAAACAGGTCAGCGGTATTCATCTCACGCAACAGGACAACTCACTTCTCCGGGGCTGAGAAAGACGCCAGCCTCATGAAGTAGGTGCCGACAAAGTTTCATCTCTCGACTACTGTGGTCGTCGCCTGCGAAATAGTCGAGCCATTTTGTCAACTTAACAAAGATGAAGACCCCACTATCGGCCTCCCAGAACGGAATTCTGTACTTGTCGAGGAGTTTGGCAGTGAAGTCGTACTGCTTCCCGAGCCTTTCGCGATAGACGGACACATACCGGTCGACTGCCTCCTCATTCTGCAGAAAGTGCATGAAAAAAGCGGCCGAAAAGCTCGTCACCCACGTGAAAAGCACCAGCCGTCTTACAGAACGCCAAAGGAGTTCGTTACGGGTGACGAGAAACCCGAGTCTTAGCCCGCCGCAGCCAAAGTCCTTGCTCGCGCCGTACATGCAGTGTATGTTTTCCGTAAACACCCCGTTTTCGGGGTCATCTGGGATGCTTAGCACAGATGTGAAGGGTGTAGCTGCCCGGTCATGCGGAGTGAAGGTAGACATCGCGTAAATCTCGTCGGATAACAGGTGCATCTTCCGCTGGCCGCAAAATCTGGCGATTTCGATGAGGGTGGCGCGTGGATACGTCCGTCCGCACGGGTTGCTTGGGTTGCACAAAAGGACGGCTTTGGGAGTGACGCGGCTCTTCTGGGCAGCAGAGTATGCTTCGCCTAAAGCCTTCGTAACTTTTGCAGAGTCCTTGGCCTCGAACTGGTCTTCGATGGTGTCGAGATCGACGTTGATGAGATTGACGCCTGTCCTGGCGCAGACATCATGAGGAAACATCATGTAAGTCGGAGTTATGACCATTATTCCCTCCCCTGGATTACACATGGCAAACGCCATCATGTCGATGAGTGAAGTGACGCCGTTCGTCACTATAATATCATCTGCGCTCAGAGCCCGAGCCGGGTCGAAGTGGCGGTTCATGAAACTACTGACGGCTTTCGAAAGGCCTGCAGATGTTAGACGTGAATCTGTGTGGTGAAATGCTTCTCACCTTTCGGTCCCATCACGTCTCCGTATTTCATAGCTAAGACCGAGTCAACTCTGTTGCGTACTCAGACATCTATCTCATGGCATACCTTCACTGAGACTATATGACTTTTCAAAGTTGGTCATTTCCTCCTCCAAAACGTCATTCATTAGGCTGTTGATAGCTCCGGAGAGGTCGATAAGACCGTCAGGACATGTCTCGGGGTCGTACTGTGGGAGTTTGCCCGCCTCATTTTCGAGATCGATAAAAGCCCCGGATTCAAGATTGGCGAGCGCCCGCGTAGACGGCTTGATGGCGTGTTGCTTCGATGCCATTTTCCACGGCCTTCAACTTGCCTTCACGTCTAATTCAGCGCGAGACAGAAAACTATCATCAGGGACCTAAGAAGGCAAGGTAGAGCCCCGCATCCCCCGAGTGCGATGCCGGGGCCCCGGCAGATAGTTTAGGCCTGCCTAATCGGGCAGTCCGTTGCGCAGCATCATAGAAGCAACTGCAATCACCACCATCTGGACATACTCCAATGATCGCAAAATACAAACTACCGATAATGGTGTATTTAACACGCAATTGTACGAGTCACCGTCAGGATTTAGACTTATGGGAATGATCCCGGGTGACTATTGACCAGGAACGTCGGGGATGCAAGAACATGGCAATGCAGGATAAACTCCAAATCAGCATATCCGCGCGCAGAAATTTCAAGAATCCCATGATGCCCATCAACACCAACCAGCCGTGCCGCGCAAGCCGGACAATGGAACTTTATCAACAACCGAAACATTCCAAAAGCCAAGACGACCCCTGAACCCTTGACCGTCCCGTCACCAGCCCACACGCGGCGAACCCTTCATGATCCAGACGGTACGTGGCGTACATGCAAGGGATGTCAACCGTCCTGCTGTGCACAGCGGAAATCCGATTGTTTGGGTCGTGCATTCCACCGCGAAAGCAGAATTTCTTCTCCCGCGTGAAGGCACCCGCGCCCAGGTGACGTGAGGATCACCAGATGCCGTCACAGGGCCCTTTCTCCCTTCAAACGTGTGCCCCCCAGGAGATGCAAGGGTCGAAGGGTCCTGGGATGATCAAGCCCTCCTGTCTCGGTGCAATTCGCTCGAGACATGCGCTATCGTGGTTCCTGATTCCATGGGGAAATGACTTCATTCATGCTTTTTGCCCCTCGCTGTTCCTGAACTCAATCGCACCCGCCCAACCTTACTACAGGCGATGTAAACTCAGAGAAGAGGGTTACAGAAGGTGGGAATAATTGCAGTCTTGAAAAATCAAAATTGCAGGGCCCCGCAAGAAACTGAATTGAGGCCGAAAGGTCGCTGGGTCGCTCACTCATACGCACGAAAGTGTGGGGCACTACCTGCTACGCTTGTTAGATCCCGCTTTGGCCTCAGCAATTATCAATCAGCACTGGCCCAGATCGTCTAGTTGGTTAGGATGATACGTTGTGGTCTCCATCACTCAGCGATACCGTGTTGACGGCGGTTCGAATCCGCCTCTGGGCAGTAGTCTTTTGCTTTTTGCTCCATTGGCATTGGATCAAGCCTTTCGGTCTGTTTTTTGTTTTGCCTGCATTGCCTGCACCGCCTTTAGTGCCAGTTGATGACGAGAATGGTGACAAAACCAATCGAGTGTTTGTAAAAGTTGTGTTCTTTAACGTCAACGATTTGGCATCCTCGTTCGATTCAACCTGCTGTTAAACGCCTCTCAGTGACCCATGGGTATCATAATTCTAAATACGAACAAACACAGACCGTACATTTCCACTTCCTCTGACCGAAATGACCTCCCCATTCACCTCCAACTCCGGCGCCTCATCCTCTTCGGGCGTTAAATCAGGCCAATCTCTCCACAACTCACATTTTGCAAGTCTAGTATGAGCTTTTCGCCGGACGAGCCTCACAACCCGGACAGCCTGCTCCAGATCGCCGACTTCGAACAGCAAAACCTTTGGCTTCAACCAATCCGCGACATCCAATAACCTCACGTAAAAGACATCGGCGTGGTCACAATCATCGTACACCGGCAACCCCGCCCCCGGCACGAGCGCCAGCTTGGGTTCGTATTTGCGCACCGAATACCCCATCTGCCCCCGCCCGTACGTCCACACGCTGCTCGATATATACGGCGGGTTCGAGACCAAGACGTCGCAGGGTGGAATCGTCCGCATCGCGGCGTCGTCAAAGACATCCTCCCGCCTAAAGGCGATACTCTTCCGGTCTGCGGGTGGCACTAACACGCCCCTGTCGACGTTGCGCTTCAGATTCTCCCTGGAGAGGTTGACAGCGACGTGCGAGACATCAATACCAATCACATCCATCGTTCCCTCTGCTTTCGAGAGGGCATCATACAGCCCCAGAGCAATACAACCCGTTCCCGTGCAAAAGTCAACGACTCTCATATCACCGCTCTGGTTCAACAGCAGCTCCCCGCCGCGGATCATCTCGCCGAGGTGCATGACATACGCCTCCGTCTCGGCGCGGGGGACGAGGACCCCCGGCCGACACCGAAGGTCCAGCCTGCCAAAGGGCTGCGAGCCGAGGACGTACTGCAGCGGCACCCCACGTCCTCGTTTCGCGCACAACCTCGCCACGCGACGACGGCCGACCTCTTCTTCTCTCTGCTGCTGCAGCCCATCCCCAGAAGGCACGCGGGGATTTGAAGTATCGCGGACGTGCTCCCTGATCCACCGCAGCTCCGTGACAGCCGAGTCAATGTCGCGGCACGCCGGAAGCAAGGTCCTGACGTGCGGGGATATGGCGCCCGCCTGGCGTATGAGTGAGGGCGGGAGACGAGGCATTGGACGGCCGGCAGCGGTGGTGGTGGTTTTGGTGGGTTAGACTCTGGCGTGAGTCATGTAGATCATGGTGTCACTTGTGGCTTGTACGTGGTAAGCTGACGTCGGCCTGGATGAATGGGATGAAAAGTCTGTTTGCTTGGGGGAGGACGAAGTGGTGGTGGTGATATCTGGCAATTGTTGCTGAGGTGGGAAGCTTTTAATTTTTCCCCCGCTGGAGGAGCTGTCGCTGTCGCAGCAGCGCGTGCTTCATTGGAGCTTGGGCCACCTAAGACACCACACCAACTGACTTACACGCCTGCGTCGGATGAGATGGGAGTCATTCGGATGTCATGATACGTCCAACTCTAAAGTGATGGGTTGTTTCATGTGGCAGTCGTAGGATGAACTTACCGATGATGTGCCTCGGAGGATCTCAAGAGTTCGGACTTGGCGGCATCGTCGCGTTCTCGGCCAGACAAAGGCATCGCCGAGGGGTAGTGCGCTATTGGGCGATGAGCCCACTCACTCATTGTTCTAACGGGAGTTTTTGATGATTGAGAACGGTAGTAGTATTGTATTCCAGCGACGAGGAAGCAAGATGGGTAATCGCAATCCAAAAGACAATGGATGGTGTACAGTGTTGTTATAAGGTCTCAGAACCTGATAAGGAAAATTGATGGGATATCATCCCACCACGAACTCCGAAAAAAAATAACAAGCAGAAAAAGTAGTCAGACACCATGAACCCAAGCCCAACAAACAAATCATACCTCCGTGACCGTGATATTCATAACGTTGTTCTTGTAGTCCTTGATGAAGCTCTCGTACCTTGGGTAGACCTTCTCGTCGTCGACCTCAAGGTGGTTTGTCTTTTGTTCATCTTCCTCTTCCTCCTCTTCATCATCTTCTCCTTCACCATCTACCTTTTCCTCGGCTTCTTCGGCTTCGTCATCTCCAGGGTCCTCATCACCGCTTTGATGCTTTTCCTCGTCGTCGGCGTCTTCATCACCATTGCCGTCAGCATTAGAGTCGACCTCGTCCCAAAAGTTTCCGTCTTCAAAGTAGTAATCGGCCCAGTCACCGTAGATCTCAATCTCCGGCTTCTGCTCCTGAGCTGACTCGACTTCTCTCATTGAACTCTTTGGCCGCGGCTCCGGCAGCCACGATTGAAACCTCGACACTGGCGCCCCCGTGTTGAGGATTGTCTCCTTGGACGACCGCCAGGAGTATTTCCGGGGCAAGGACTCCGGGCTCATCTGGTGGGCAATGTGATCCGACGGCGGAGGGGTGGTCGGGTCAGACACAGACCGCAGCCGGGGATCTGTGAACGGAGTTGCGGGACGGTCCTTCACCGGGGTCAAGAGCGGTGGAGAAGACGGGCTAGAGGGGCCGGCTGAGTCGTCGTCGACCATTGTTGGAGACGACACCTCTGCGGATGAGCGAAAGGTTCCCCGTGCAGGGCAGGGCGAGTCAACGTCTCTGGAGGAGAAGAGGGACTCGCTGTCGTCGGACCATCGAGAGGTTTGTGCTCGTGGAGTGTACAGACCCAGGCGAGATTGACTCCTGGAAAGGGTAGGTGGAGGAGATAGCGGTACCATGCGGACGGTCATCTTCGGCTCTGGCTCGACGTCCTCATCCGCTTCGACTTCATGTACATCGGCCTCTTCGCCATCGCTCACACTCGGCGAAGGCAAGTGTCCCGACCGCCTTGTCGCTGTTGTGGACTTCGTAGAGCTCCTCCCAACCTCAACCACTTTTGCCGGACCAGAAGAATTCGTCCTGGCAAGTCTTGCCTCCTCAAGGTGTACGCTCTCGACCCTCACACTCCGTAGACGCCTGGTCTCCTCCACTTCATCCGGGTATGGCCACATCTTGAGGCCATGCTTGACCCCGCCTCTCTTGTGCTCCTCCTGCCTCTGCAACGACATGAGAAACTGCATGCACTGCTCATCATTTGGAATCGCTGTCCTGGAAACAGGCCTCTCTGGCCGGTCCGGTGTATGGATGATCTGGAATGAAGATTCATCCATGCTGTCTTGCCTCCTAGGAGAGCGTGGTGACGTTGAGCTGTCTGGGGATTTTGGAGACTTCGGTGATTTTGGTGACTGCATGAAGCTCTTGATTTTGAGGTTTTTCAGGTACGGCGACAGCTGCGCCGTCCAGTTCGATTTTCTTCCGTGCCTTGCGTGGTCCTTCATGTTGACTGTTTGCGGGATTGTCCAAGACGTGGAAGGCAGCGCCGACGGCGGGGCCGCGTGTTTAAAGTCCATGGCATCAAAGGCCTTCTCGCAGGGCTGCAGGGAAAGAGAGGACCAGGAAAGTGAAAGTTCAGCTGCGTATGCACCGTCGAGGGCAACTTCTTTGTAAAGTCTGGAGAAAAAAAGCCATCATGGTTCCGTCGAGTGCAGCAGACAAAGAATGCATGGCCGAATGGCTTCTCATTTCAGCCAAAGACATCTAGGAATGTGGCGACTCCAGCAGAGTTTACCACCCCATTCCTTTGTCCGGATGATGATCCCAGGCCTAACCCGACAATCCAAAAAAATAACGACAAACTATGAACCGGCCCCCGCGTGTAGTCTGATCTTATCGATGTTATCCCTCGCAGGATGTGAGACAATCTTCCCCACCGTCATTACTATAGCCCAACTGTAACAGTCATATTATTACTCAGGACCAGGAGGACCGGAGGGAGCTCGTGGCACAGGACCTCGACATCCGAGAGGTACTGCACGCTCGCGACCTCATCCTGGCAGGTTCCCTCGGTGGGCACGGGTAGCGTCGAGAGTAACACAGCTGTATCCCTGCTGTTCTGCCGCATAAGCTCGTTGAGGATGACATGCTGTGCTCGGGATGGCAGGTCATTGAACGAAAGCGCGATGCCTTGTGTGGAGTACGTCGAGCCGTCGCCTTCGCCTTCTAGCCTGGAGTCTAGCCTGTAGCGCTCCACGAGCTCCGCCATGTTCATATGGGCGTCTCCATGCTCGGAGGATGCGGCGGAATCTTTGCGAGATCTCGGTTCCGCAAACGCAGTAGAAGGATCAAACTCTTCAGCCGTCGTCACCCTCATTTCAGGCACAGGGCGGCTGGAGAACCGGCCCGTGGAGGATTGCCTCGAAAATGCGGGCCTTTCCGCTCGCGGCGTCTCTTCTTCCGTTGTGTCCGCAAACATAATCGTTGGCCCGGACGTGCCCTCAACATCAATTCGCGTCTCGGGCACCGGTCGGCTCGAGAATCGCACGGCGGAGGATTGCCTGGACAGTGTTGGTCTGGCCGGGGTTGCCGTACCAGAAACGCTCACCGGCGGCAATTCAGGGTACGGATTGCCGCTTGACACCCGGAATCCACCCAGCGATCGAGCAGTCACGTTGCGATCCAGACCGGGTCGTTCAAGCGGAGTTGGAGGGGCCGACACGTTGTCACCGGCCGTGTGGCTTGGACCTGATTGACCTTCGACCCGAGCTTGTGCAACCATGGTGCCATAGGTCGAGCTTGGTACGGCACTTTTGCTGGACTTGCTGTTACCTCGCCTATGTTTGGATGGAGTGGTGAGGAGGTCATCGCTCTGGCTTCGTCCACGCTCCTTGCCAAGCAGTAAGGGTCTTGTTGGCGTCTCCGTATCATCTGCCTCATCCTCACTGTACTCGCTCCCTCCACGTTCGAACTCAGAGTCAGAGTCCAAGCAAGAGGGCTGCTGTTCCTGCTCGCTGAGCTCGCCGTCCGAGTTGGAATCATCCTCAAAGACCTCATCTCCCAGGTGAGACGTGTGAATTCCAACGCTGACGCCAAGCCGGGAAAGCTTCGCTACCGTAGGTCTTTTCGGTATTTCGCCGAAATGTACCATACTAGGCCGACGCCCACTTTCGATGTCCTCTAGTGGAATATGCGGATTGAACACGCCAGGACGCCCTGCTGTCGACTCGATGATATTCGCGAAAGATGTTAGTTCGTCGGTCGAGTCGAAATTCGGGGCACGTCCTCGCAGCCTCTGCAAATCGTCCCACCATTCCTCATCCCTGAGGACGTCGTGAACTAGAATCTGAGACTCAAGATCGCTAGATTGGCCATTGATGATGAGTTCGTAGGTGTTCAGCTGACCAGATGCCAGCCAGAATACCTTGACCTCAGCCTCAATTCTCAGCTTCTCCAGGAGAGCCTTGACTCGTGCTCTCTCTTCTTCCACTTCGCTCTCATATTCGACAAATACCATGATGCGGACATCATACACTTTGTTCCAAGTAGGCACGCTGTGAAGGATATAGCCGAGTTGGAGGATCAAGGTGTCTGCGACGTGTTAGCCTATTTACCAGAGATGAGGGCAATTGTCGTACATGTATCAAAGTTGGTGGTCAGAACGCTTTTTCCGTCCGACACAACCTCTGCGGACATTTGAATAGGCCAGAGATCAAGATATCTCTTCGTATTGCCCTTGTCCTTGCGCGGTGTCTCTAGCCTTTCGAAACCCTTTCCGATAGCGACATTGAGCTTATATCTCAAGGCAAGGTCTTCCAGCATTGTCATATAGCTGGTAACACTCAGCATGGATTCGGTTTTGATCACGTCCGTCGGAAGATGACCCTCTAATAGTCGCGCCGAGGTATCCCCACGTCTCCTTCGTACTGGCCTCTCTGCGGGTCGTGGTCTTGGTCGTGTGTCCTCGACGGTCGAGCTTGGAGCTTTCGGCACTGCTACCGACGGACGGGAGCTTCTGAGTTCATCCATGTTGTAGAAACCCATGACTGCAATGTTAGGACGCATGCCTCCTAGCCCGGCTGACAAGATCAAGTTTCGGATGCCCCAATTGAGCGTCGGAGACATGGTCAACTGTACGAACGCCTTGATCCGCGAGAACTCCGAGATGTACTTCGTCCATGCTGCCTGCTGTAGTCTTGCTTCGTGGACACCACTGCTGAAGTCATCTGTGACAATGACGTGACCAAGAATATACAACCCCCCTTTCTTCAAAGAGTTGCAGAACTGGATGAGCCTGGTTTGACTTCTGGGGTTGTTGATGAGCAGGATGATTTGCGGACGCCAAAATTTGATATGCTCCGGTCGTAGGCGTAGAAGATACTTCCTGACCTGGTGATAAATCAGGTTTTGCGATACGTCTCCCCATCTCTTCGGTGGACTGAGGTAGTGGATCAGCGAGAAGAGGAAAACAAGAAGACATATGGCAGTGGCAGCGTAAGTCTGGTCGATGAAGAACATGGCTGCCGCAGACATTATAGTACCAGCAAACGCTGCTTGCCAGCTGAAGAACTTGAAGGCGGGCCTGAAGTTAGGTGCTGATCCAATGCGGAGCAAGAAGCAAGCTAGATTCATGACGAGAAAGGTCATCTGCTGTGCATTAGCTATGGACCAGTGAGGCGGGGTGTAGCACTCACCTGATAACCCATAGAAATAAGAGTCGCAATCTGGTTGAGGTTGGCGAGCATGGAAACCTGAGCAAGACCGTACGTCAAGAGAATCGCGTAGATCGGTTCATCGGCCTTCTTCGTCCCTTGGCTTAACGGTATTAAACCCGGTAACAGCTTATCCCTCGCCAAAGCCTGCATCAGCTTCGCCGCACCTACAAGTCCCATGACAGCGGAGAAGAAGGTGACGGCGCACTCTCCTGCAAGAATCAAGGGCATCGACAGGCTGGTAACAGAGATGATGTTGGTGTTGTTAAGAAACGAGTTATGCGTCGTGGTGGCAGCCATGGAAAAAACTACGACCAAATACGCAATGAACGTAGTCATCATTGCCCAGAGTGTTCCTTTGGGAATGTCTTTGCTGGGATTTTGCAGATCTCCAGACATTGAAGCTCCCGCAAAGATCCCGGAAGTCGCTGGGAACAGAATGGCAAAGAGCTCCCGAAACGTCTCGAGGCCATTATAAGAGTCGCTCTTTGTGTGAGGGGCAAAATTGTCCACCAATGTCTCGAGGCTGAACCCAGTGAACCGGACTCCCAGATCGTCATCTCGGAAAGGAGCCTTGAACATGGCAGATATCGGGATGCTTATGATGGCAAGAGACAGAATGACTAGAAGTGCATTGCTGGCCTTGGCAAAAATGCCACTTCCAGCCAGGCCCAGCGCAGCACACAGCAGAAGTGCCAGTGTCTGGAGCAAGTGTGTTGCCCAGAAACCTTGGGGAAACAAATCCCCCGCGTTCAATTTGATGCAGTCAATTAGACCAACGACATTGAGGGCGGTGTTGAAGACTTGGGCAAGATAGAACAACACGCCAATGGAACCGCCGAACTCGGGACCAAGAGACCTCGAGATCACGTAGTAGGCACCTCCACCCTTCACCTCGCCATTTGAAGCTATCGCAGAGAGGGACAGTGTTGTCAGAAAGTCCACCAGATAGGCGGTGACCAGCAATCCTACGGATGGTGTTAGTCTGCGCTAATGTAAATGAGGGCGCCCGTGCTGGTGCCGACGAACCAAGCATGCCCAAAAGCCCTACTTGGCCAAGGATCCATCCAAATCTCAGAAACATCAGGATGCTGAAAATGTTGAGACAGACGGGGATGTAGACGCCGGAAACTACGCCCAGCTTGGGGCTCTTGCTGCTGGCTTGCTCCATGCTGGAGAGGCTCGGTCGTCTGTCACCTCCCATGGCGGAGGATACTGGTTGAAAAGGAGAGATGAGTGCGTTTGGTTGGTGGGATACATAAACCGAAGCTGGGCTCGAAAAGGAGAACGCGAACGCCACCTCCGCACTTTCTCTTTCTCCACGCCCAAACGGGGTTGGGGAGCAAGACGTTTCGATGAATGCGAGATCGATGAAGACGGAGATTCGATCGAAAGTAGTAGCACGCGGCAGGCAGGCGGATGTGGTCTTGTTATAGTTATAAGTCCCCGCCCATAAGTCACGCCAACAACATTGTGCTGCTGCCCAGTGTCCTGTCCTCGCTCAGAGCGTCCACAAAGTGCAGTGTGGTTGAACGATGGCTGGCGACGGTCTGGATATTGCGACCAGTAATAGAATTCCCTAGCAAAGACCGGCGGGCCGCACAGGCATCCAACTGGCCCGGCGCATGTCTCGCGTACTGCTTGTCGTCTCGTTTTCAGGGTTCACCGTTCTGCGTGCAAGGGATATCTGGGTCGATCCAATGCAAGCCTCTCCAATACCCCGCGTGCCGATTGGGAATTGCGATTGTGCTCCAATCCCTCCGGCCTGTCGCGCCCTGCTGTTGGAGATCCACACACACTCCCAAGACGAATGGCATGCAGCCGGTGCAGAACACGCAGAAGATGAGCCCGAACGTGGGAGATAAACGACGTCATCTGGCAGCGGAGTCCAGATCGGGCCGGAAAAGCATCGCTTTACGGCGGTGAGGTGGTGGGGGAACAGCGTGCTTGCGGCGCTTGAGGGACGAACTGACACCAGAATCGAGATGCGAGGTATCCGAATTCGCTGTGGCCGTCCAATATCAGGTAAAGTGCTTCAGGGTTGCGAGCTGCGTGATGGTGTGGTGAGGCGTGTTTCTACCGGTTTGTCCGAAGATGCTGTGCCTCTTTCCGCAGCACCAGCGTTCCGTCAAATAAACCACCGCCCATGCCATGCCATGCCGTCCTGTCGTTCCCGCAAACCGCGCGTCTGCCTCCGTGCCTTGCTAGTCTTCGCGGCCGTCGTTCGTGTTAGCCTCCGTCGTCCGGCATCTGGCTCGACATTCCATCTGATGCTAGCATGACCGCCAGGTTGGTGCTCCAAAATAGCAATGGCGGCCTGTCGGTTGACTCACGCGCATGACAGCGGCAAACCGGAGAATTCAGTGAGATGGACCACTGTCACCACACAAGATGGGCGGCGTGTATCCGTAGTGTAGTGGCTTATCTGCATGGGTAGGTAAGGTAGGGCAGCGTGTGCATGGGGTTTGACCAGCTTTCAGTGTGGCCGTGTGTGCTTCTGCGGTAGTTCCCTGACTCGATGGGGTTTCAATGTCAGAGGTGAAGGGTGCACGGGGTGCCAAAACCCCAAAGTACCGCTACATCCGCCGCACAATTGCAAAGAGCCGCCGAAGCTGGGGATGCTGGGCCGTTGTCGCGGGGCTCGACAGTCTTGTCTTCAAGGTCACGACCATCATTCAGCAGCGCCCGGTCTCAGGGCCAGGAATGAACGAACCCCCACTCTGTTCTTCTTTCTCACTGCAGCACTGGTGCGAGTGAGGCGAACTTTGGGTGGTGCTCGTGCAGCTCAGTTAATGGAGGCGGCGAGCCAATTATGGGGTCTCGCTTACTCAGTTGGCCAATTACCTAAGCCAAGGCAAGATAGTCGGTCCCGATAGAGCAGATAAGGTCGCCTGGCAAAGCTGCACCTGATGTTTTTAGCAGCTGAGCAGCCCTGGTTTCCCAGTCCCGTCCTCGGCTTGCCCAAGTTCGAGGACTCGAGGCATCAGAGACGCCGGTCCGCCACCTTTCCCCATGAAAAGATTTCGTAAGGCTTTAACATGACCGGGGCGGAGGATGTCCGTCCGACTTCACACAAAACAAGACACATGTCCTCGACGACTACGGATACCGACCCAGTCAGCAACATGCTGAATCATGGGAGCCAAACCCGTCCGTCGCCTGAGTGATGGAGGCAGGTAAGGTATGTGTGGTGGTGGCTGGTGCTCTCTGTTGCGTTGCAGGTCCCGTCCCAGGCGACAAGATTGACGTACCGATACGACCCAGGTGCCTGCTCAGGTGCGGATAGCACAGGTTCAGTGCCCTCGTCTCGGTGGGAAAAACACCCCGAGAGAGACCTAGCCCCTGGCTTGCTCCCGGGTTTCGGCAAGACAACGCAGCACCTCCCACAGCACAGGGCACTTACATGGTACAGAGCCGCTGACACCGCTATCAAAGGCACCTGGCAAGTTAAGGTACAGCACTGGACCCCCGTATCCGACGCTATCGGCGCGACTGCGAGGCGTGAGCCACAACCTCCAGACCTGCCAGATTAGGTCACCCGACCCGCATGGGAAGCCGCGGGTCCTTATCACGGGTTCCTACCTAGCAGCAACAGCTTCGACCGCACATCCTCCTAGCCGTGCGCTTCAATTGATCTCGTCAGCTGTCTTACAACTGCGCCCAGGTAAACCTCTTCCCGTACTTCAACTGCTCCACCTCCTCGACCTCCTCTAGCTTCTGTACCTGCCTTCCCTCCGTCTCAACTTTGCTCTCCCATGACGCCTTGTTGCTAACTTTGTCTGTGTGTTGACCCAGATCCGAGTCTGCGACGGCCTTGCTTGGGTGCTACCGATATAGCCAATACCAGCATTCGATAACCCCCGAACGGCCTCATCAAACAGCAAAATGGCGTCTCCTTCGAGAGACCCTTTCTCCATCCCAAGGGCCGACTCACCGTCCCGCCAGTACGGCGCTTCTCTTCCTCGAGCAGATGCCACCGCTCGTCTGGCGTCGCCCGTGCCTTCGGCTCAGTATGGCACTCCCCAAACAAATCGCATCCCCGGCCAGGCCAACAGAGGAGGCGAGAACGGTGACACGGGTAGCCTCACCCCGTTGGCTGGAGCTGCCGGTTCGAGCGTCCAAGGTCCTGGCGTCTCAGCTCTCGCTGCAGCGCTTTCCAACTCTCTAGGAACCTCTCCTCCAAGACACGGCACACCACCAGTACGCTCTGGTACTCCTCCTCCCAGACCTCTCTCTCCTGCCGCTGCTGGTGCCCAGCTATCAAGCACTCCCATGACGAACTACGGCTCGTTCGACTCCCGCTCGCGAGGTGCCGCTACTGGCGCCTACGAAGACCCCGAGGTCGTCAAGAGGCACCTGGTTCAACCCTCGGACGCCCCGTCAGAGGAGTCGAGCATGCGAGATGGCGTCAAAGGCAAGCAGACAGCGGATGACAACGAGACTGGACTGAACGAGGACGAATTCTCGAGTTTGCAGCTGCAAGGCGGAGATGTAACGCGAGGCATTTACAAGTGGACCGAAGATGCGGAAGCTCGAGGCAAGGTGCAGCGCAGCAAGAGCTTTAGCGTCTCCAGGCCAGACCCCGAGACGGACATTCTTGACATTAATGCTATTAAGGTTCCGGGTGGTTTCCGCCGCAACTATCTGCGCCGGGCGGCCAGAAGTCCCTCCACGATTCGAGACGGCGGCGAGCGCGGCGAGCCCAGCAATGGCGGTGCTCAGCCTCGTTTACTCACTTCAAGCTTCCTCGAGTTCCTTACTATCTACGGTCACTTTGCTGGCGAGGAGCTTGAGGAAGATGACGAGGCTCTGAAGCCAGGCGAATACTTTTCCTCCGGTGGAGAGGACGATCTCTACGACAGCGACGAAGGCAGCGATGACGATCGGGAACCGATGGAAGACAGTGCGCTTCTGACGCCGTCGCGCCATAAGAGGAGAAGAAGGCAGCGTGGAGGCAGTGGCAAGAATAGCCCGATGAGCGCCGCGCTGCTCTTGCTGAAGTCCTTCGTGGGAACTGGTGTGCTCTTCTTGCCAAGAGCCTACCTGAACGGTGGCATGCACTTCAGCAACCTCGTGTTGCTAGGTGTCGCTGCGCTGAGCTACTACTGTTTCGTTCTGCTGGTTACTACCCGTCTCAAGGTAGAAGGTTCTTTCGGTGACTTGGGAGGCATTCTGTACGGCAAGTGGATGAGGGGTATCATCCTCTTTTCCATTGTCATCAGTCAGATTGGATTTGTGGCCGCATACATGGTTTTCACCTCAGAAAATCTACAAGCCTTCCTCTTGGCAGTCTCTGACTGTAAGACCAACGTCGGCGTCAAGTGGTTGATCCTGCTGCAGGTGCTCGTGTTCCTGCCCTTCTCGCTGCTTCGAGACATCGAAAAGCTGAGTTTCACTGCCTTGATTGCGGACGCATTCATCCTACTTGGCCTGGCCTATCTTCTGTACTACGACATCTTCACCCTGAGCACGAAGGGACTGGCGGACATCATCATGTTCAACCGCAACGACTGGACTTTGTTCATCGGCACCGCCATTTTCACATTCGAAGGAATCGGCCTTATCATCCCCATTCAGGAGTCGATGAAGAACCCCAGCAAGTTCCCTCGCGTCATGTTCGCGGTCATGATCATCATTTCTGTTCTCTTCATCGGTATGGGTGCGATTTCCTACGCCGCGTACGGATCCAAGACGGAGACGGTCGTTCTCCTGAACTTGCCCCAGGACAGCAAGCTCGTCAACAGTGTTCAATTCCTGTACTCTGTTGCCATCATGCTGTCCATCCCCTTGCAGCTGTTCCCTGCCATCAAGATCACCGAGAACGCTCTTTTCACCAAGAGCGGCAAGTATAACCCGTACATCAAGTGGCAGAAGAACCTGTACCGTTTCTTCTTTGTCTTCCTGTGCGCTTTCATTGCGTGGGGTGGTGCGGATGACTTGGACAAGTTTGTTGCTCTTGTTGGCAACTTTGCTTGTATCCCGCTTGTTTACATCTACCCAGTAAGTCTTGACCCCAATCATCGTTCATGTGATTCCAATCTAACTCTGTACAGCCTTTGCTGCACTACAAGGCAGTTGCTAGAAATAGATGGTGGAAGATTTCCGACATCTGTCTCTGCATCTTCGGTGTCGTGGCCATGGCTTATACTACCGCTATCACCGTTTACAGCTGGGCCAACGGCGATTCCGACCCTGGCAATCCCGGATACTGCGATAGAAGGTAGATCGACCACGAGAGGGTTGTGGAGATTAGGCGGTTAGAAGATGGATATGCTACCGCATTTTGTTATCATGAACTGCTGTCTCAAAAGCGTTGGGTAGTCATTGCATGGTTTCCAGCGGGTTCGTTTAGGAGAGCTTAGGCAGCATTTGGTTGGTCGGTATTGAGTATGGGCTCCGTAAATAGACTGTTCCGAGATCAGAGGGCTCGTCGCCATGTTCATAGTTATGTATCTGTACGCCTTAGCAGAGTTAAGAATCGAGTAAACGTTTTCTATTGTCTGAAATTTAGCTGCTTCGTTGGACTCTTCATATTGGAAGGCTCATGTTTGGTTGTTCATCTGAGCTGGCGCACCGCCACATATTTGCCTGTGGCGCAGTCATTATCAGCGATCCACTTTTTGCTTCTGGGAGGCAGGCACTCAAGGCGGCAGCAGCCGCGGCCAACCGTAAGTGATCACTTCCTTCCAGCAGCATCTCATCCATCCAGGTCGATCTCAAGAACATCATCCTTGTGAACAAGTCGAGTAAGATCCGAATATTCCCACATCACGAATCAGAATCTGACCCAATTCACAGGTTCGTCGAGGTCCTCCAACTTCGAGTTTTTCTGACCGCCATACGCCTCGGCTCGAGTCTTGCCTGCCCAAATCCAGCACTACCGTCTTTGAAACTAGCATCTCGCCAAGATGAACGCCCCCGATCGGTGAGTGATGAGTTCGACGTCTTTCGATGTCGTTTGATGTTGTTAAAGGCTTTTGAATGTTGAATCGAGGTCCGAGGGCTGCTGGACTATCACATTGCGATGTCTTTTATGAGCTTACTGTGCTCATCCTCAATGGCTTTCCTGCGTTCTCTGATGTGGCTGATGCAACGCTCTTTTCACCTTGTTCTTTTCCGACGCACATGCCTACAAGCATCCGCCCCGGTTCCATGGCCACCATCTCCATGCTAGGCCACTATCTTGTCATTGAGCTCGAATGATACTGAGCTGGCCATCAATCCGCCCCTTCATCTCAATATGCCTCTCATTTTATATGGAATAGAGGATATGAAAAGCTAATAATGCGACAGTTTCGAGCTCTTCCTCCTTGCCGATGGCGAGAAGAAGATCGAGGAAAAGGTCTTCTCCGGTATGCGGCTATTCACTGCTTCCTTTGCTTTTACTCGGGCTCACAATCCTCAGGAATGTCCAACACCTCCGACTTCATCCTGAAGAAGGAAGACCACACTCTCGGAAACCTCCTCTCTGAGCACCTCAAGCAGCACAAGAACGTCCTCATGGCCGGCTACAAGAGTAAGCCTCTACTCAGGCTACCGCCGTCTTGGGAGCACCCATGCTAATTTCGCCGCCAGTCTCTCATCCTAACGTGCCCGAGCTCTTTATCCGCGTCCAAACAGACGGCTCGATCCCCCCCAAGGAGGCGCTAGTCCAAGTCATCAAACGTCTCATGCAGGACTTTTCACACCTCAGTCGTGAATTCACACGAGAGTTCGAGCTGCGTCGTATGGTCGAGGCTGGACGGTCTGCAGCGCAGGGGCAGTAAGGCAACTTTTGTGTGAAAATAGCATTACATCTTCTCTGGGCGTTCTCGGGCGGACTTGGTCATAAAGAATGGAAATTGGGGGTTCTGATACCACACGTGTGCTGGTTTTAGTTTTCGCCAAGGACAGGCTCTCGATACGAGAAAAAGTTTGGTCATTGCGAATTACGTCGTTAACTACGCGAGATTCCCTCTCGTGAAGTTCGTTTGGTGTATGCCTACAGTGTCATTACTTCAGTTTTGACATGCAGCCCTTTACTCCTTCAAGTCAACCAAAGTCATGATTTTCCCTGCTCGGTCCTTGCGGCTGGTAGATCCGACACAGATTCTTGCCCAACCGTGACCATCGTTGCAGTCTTCCTGCACTTTTTCAAGAGCCGGGGGCTCGTATTCGTACTAATCCCTCCGTCGCTTTGCCTTTACGCGTTCACGGGACCCTCTCCACCAGGAATGAGCTGTGAACAGAGTCAGAAACGGCACACGTGCTAGAATAAGCAGATGAGAATATACCATGCAGATGTTGTTGCCGTTCAGGAGAATCTTGGGTAGCTTAGTGTGGTTTCCGGAGTAGTCGCTGGCATGGGGTTAGCATGGTCCACCACTCTTTTTGTTGAAATGGTTTACGAACAACTCAGTGACATCTTCCAGAACCATGTCTAATGACTCATTAGTATCGCAGGTCAAAGTAGAGTCGGATGACAGTATTTACTTACTGACGTAGTCATCGAAACCGAGCAGGGTACCACTGAATTCTGTCATGTTCGTGAGCATCTTGTGAGGTGAGGGGCGTCAGAGACTCCGTACCCTTGTCTCCCTTCATAACCACCCAGATTCTTGATCCGACACACTTGTCGATGAGTTCTGCCCGCATCAGCTTCCGGCTGTCGTAGTTTTGGACCCGTCGAACCCACCAAGAGGGAGAAGTTGAGACGCCATTTTTACGCCCTGTGGTTACCCGTGGTGATGACCTCGTGATGATATAGCTCGTTCAATCAGTTGCCAAGGTTTGGCAGGGATTATGGCCGTGGAATGGGTTGATATTCGTCTAGATATTGGGGTTCTTGTCAACCGCCGGATCTTCGAAGCTTGAGATGATCGTGGTGACCCGGAGGCGTGTGCTGCAAAGCTTGGGCGTGAGCCTATCCGCATCATGTGACTTTGTGTTTGACCGCGAGTGTGACTAAGCCGGGCCACGCGAGAAGCTCCAGCGGCCATTCAGCGTCGGGCGTGAATCAGAAGTTAATTGAACCCCTCCATCACCCACCACAACGCGTCTGCCTGCGGACCCGGATTCCTGATTAGCCGCGCCATGCCCGTTGGCAACCATGGCGCATCACCGTTGTTCCGGATGCGTTGTCCGGCAGGATTGAGAAGTATATCTAGACCATCTGGCCATAGGTTTCATTCTTTTACAACGCCTCTCCGGTCGCGGAATGGTTCTGTCGCGTATGTCAACCCCACAGCACCACGCAAGACCGGCACACTGACACTAGCTGCAGCCGCCCAAACTCGACCATGTATCCTTCGTCGTACGGCCGGCTTTGGCACCCCGGCCATGGCATCAACTTCAAGCCAGCAAGACCGGAAGAAGAAGCGCATCCGCGAGTCGACATGCTTCGCTCCTTGCACACGACCTCCGCAAACTCTTCGCAAAGCGCCGCGGCGGAAAGCAATGAGAGCGAGTACATTCTCTCCGAAGACAGCAGCGAGTCGATAACATCCGGCGACGATGATGTACCATTCTCAACGGCGCCCGAGTTCCAGCCTGAGTCTGATGCGGCTTCCACTACACTATCCGACGGCACCAACGACCCCGAAGCCCGCGTTCTGACAGATTTGAAGTTTCAAATACCCGAAGATGCATTCCTTGAGGCTCAGAACGCGCCTGATGGCTCGCCGGAGTCCTTTTACACTTATACGCTCTACCGGGGACCCTCCGACGAGGAGGGGGAGAAGAAGGTCAAGGTGCACTACTGCAAGAGCAAGCATACGATGGAGCGAGTTTGCCAGTACTTCTTGGAGGACAAGGTCCTTGGTTTCGACCTTGAGTGGTATCCTAGGGCGACCAGAAAATCAGGCCCGAGGCAGAATGTGTCTCTGATCCAGCTTGCCAACGAAACTCGGATCGCCTTGTTTCACGTTGCATTGTTTCCGGCCCAGGACGACCTCGTATCGCCAACCTTTATCAAGATCATGGGAGACCCTAGCGTGGCAAAGACAGGCGTGGCTATTAAAGGAGACTGTACTCGGCTAAATACGCATCTGGGAGTCCCTACCAGGGGTATATTCGAGCTCAGCCACCTTCACAAGCTCGTGAAGTACTCCAAAGAGGGCCAGTACGACCTCATCAACAAGAGGCTGGTGCCGCTTGCCGTGCAGGTCAAAGAACATCTCGGCCTGCCAATGTTCAAGGGGCAAGACGTCCGTTCGAGCGACTGGTCCAGGATCCTGAAGCCGGAGCAACTCATTTGTAAGCCCCTACTCTGCGAGTCGTAAAGTTAAGTTTCTCACGTTCACTAGATTCGGCCACAGATGCGTATGCTGGCTTCCAGCTCTACCATGAACTGGAGAGGAAAAGGGCCAGCCTTGATCCGACGCCCCCGAGGCCACATTTCGCCGAGCTTGTCCTGCCCATCCGACTCGCAGATGGAGCAGCCGTCGCAGCTGACGATATCGACGGTGCCGAGAAGAAGACAGACGGGAGCGTCTTCTTCCTGACTGAAGTCGAAGGCGAATCCATCGCCGAGAGCATCCAGAAGGCACCTGCAGTCACTCCCAAGCGGACACAGCAGAAGGATCCTCGAGTCGCCGCTGCAGAGGAGTGTATGGCAAGCTATAAAGCCTCGGCCGGACCGTTCCGCGCCACGGGGCCCGCGGTGCGATCGTACTTCATCTGGAGGGACAATGAGGACCTGGATCCAGAGGCCATCGCCAAGATTCTCCGCGAACCACCGCTACAAACGATGACGGTGGTGACTTACATCTTGGAAGCCATCAAGCTGCAGACGCTGCCGTTCGACAAGAAGCGTTTGCGAGAGGAGTGCTTGTCCAGGCTGTCCACTGACTCTGGCAAGGGAAGATACAAATCCTTGGTGCAGGAGGCGAGCGAACCTGATGCGTAGAAAGCATCATTGGCCCGACGCTGGGCCAAGGCTCGCGTCGGTGTAAATATGTTAGTGCCCTGGCGACGGGTGAAGATATGACGACGCTCATGAGCATTGGATGGAGACCAATAGAGATACCCACATCAGTAAAAGAATGCATTACGCTTACAAGTTTCATGCTATGTGTATTTGAATAAGACGAAGACGGTGACACGTTTTAAGCCAACCAATGCCATCCAAGGGGGCGGCATCATGTGTCTCTGTAACCAGGTCATATGCAGTGAAGCAGTCTGCCATGCAAAGGGCGAAAGAAATAACTCATGTGACTTAGTCATGCCAAACAGCTAATGTCGGGACGTTGTCTTTAACTGCCTGGGAGAAGCAGTCGTAACAGCAGAAACGTCACGGCCCCTCGGCGAGTGACCCTGTTAAGCCAGTCCATTTGCCTTGGACTACATATAAACCACCACAAATGCATGCATTATGGTTAACTCACAGACGGGGATGATGGCAAATGATGTTTATGTCTGGTTGGCAGTCTCACCACCTCACGGCTGATCGCCGGTGAGGCAAGAGCAGAACGACTGCTTGGACTGGAGGTGTCGGGCTACGAGAGCTTCATCGTCGATATCGCTCCTTGGGAGAATATTCCAAAGATTCGTAACGGACGGCACCGTTATTAAATGTGCCTACTTAGTCTGAATTCATACCATGGTTTCTCGCTCTTTGAGAGCATTGTATCATCGCAACGAGAACATTCACTGCTGACGTCTTGCTGTGACCATTGGACACACGGAACTACATTGTGTATTGGTGGATTTTCTCGCATAACGCTCATATATGAATATGCATATAGTCTCTGTTGTCTTATTCGACTTCCTACCCAGAGCGCTTGCTGGCCAACCCGGTCTGGATGCATACTGTAGGTAGGCCTTGTCTGAAAGCTTCCCAGATGGCTTTCCAGATGGCGTACATCAAGATATTTTCGCGCTGCAAAAAGCACTCCTAATCGGAGCATAGAAAACTGATATTGGATTGCCGCGCTAAACAATAACTCGTTCAGCGTCATGTTGACTCATGGCTACTACCTGTGTCATGGCAAGTGCAATCATAATCATAACAGGCTCATCGCGGAATACCGACATAGTCCAACCAGGGCCAAATCCTTCTCCATTCTCTGTCCTCATCGTTCTTTGAGTTTATTTGAGAGTTATTCCTTGGTGTCTACGTCTGTACACTCGTCGCCCCTATTTAAATCCCACTTCAGACTCAGTCGCACTTCCTTCGTTCCTGCTACCAGTTGTGCTCTCCTATCCAGGTGGAATTATGCACCCACTGGAAGGCGACTTTGGTCCCAAGCTGATGTCATAGACTGTGAATATGACGCTTTGAGAACATGTTTAGATCTCAAGCTAACGCCTCATGAGAAAAGGGGCAATGGAGTGACAAAAATCTCCGCGAATAGAGCGCCCGAAACATCGGTGCCATTAACCCTTCAAGGCTTCTCACCGGGATTGAAATCCGTTCTCGCAGATGGTCCTTTGAATTCTTGTTGTTTCTGTGGCTCGGCTTTGCTGTTTGGGTATTGCAACGTGAATACTGAACCACTCATCCAAAGTAGAGATGGATCGTGTTTGCAGAAATATCCAGGTTCAAGCTATCAATATCTTCAGTATGATTGTTCTACACAGAAATATGTACTGGAACTGAACGGCAAGGTGATCCTCGGGGGCCACTGGTTTATTGATAGTGCATCATCCTTTAAGTACTCAAAGGCCCAAGATACGCATTGTGATCACACACACATAGCCTTATTGGGCGGTTGAATTGAGCCCGTAACTTAGACCTCCGCTTCACTAGCATTAGGTGACTGCTCACGATGAAGAGGGTTGAGTGGGGGGTATACTCTAAGAGAGTGCTCAGGTAAACGATCCAGAATCTATGATATTTAAGGACAGAAACAAATCACTCCAGGATGTGCGAGCAAAGCAAACGATTCAAGATCATGATGATTTCTGTGCAGATATCTGGTTTGAAACAGATTGATAACAGGCTGAGCGATCTTCGTCGGTTCTGCAGGATTCCAATATCCACTGTGAACCAGCCATGATAGCGTTTATACATTCGCCCGTCATCTCTGTCAAGCTCTGAAGTCTTCAATCTGGGCTCGCGTCAACGCAGGATCCCATATTTCTATGGTCATGTAACACAACTTATTGTCAATATGAGTTGAATAAATTGTTTTTGAATAGTTCGGAGAACTTCTGAAATGCAAATTTGTGTTTGTTCTTGAGAACTAGATCATGTCTGAAAAGACACTCAATCCTTCTATTCGAGGTCCTGTCACAGAGCTTCAGATTCCTGAGGCGAGGTCGAAGTTGAAGCAAGCAACGTCACTCGCGATGAACGGCACAATCTAACGGTCTGTTTGCCCCAAAGCTTCAATAAGCTTGCCGTCAGACTTGGTCTCCCTGGGAACTGTAGCACCATGTTCATTGGTCCTCTCGGACTGTGATTATAAGCAACCATTCTAGAGGCTTAGCCGCTCGAGACTGAAGGTCAGTATTGCTCGTGGCTCACGAACAGGGGATGTTGTGTTGCCCAAGGAGACCTGGCCACCTTAAACGCGACCGTCTTGTCGCGTTGGCAACTCCTGGCAGCTAATCATTTCATCAACATCTCCCGAACGCGGGGTAATCGATCCAGTATAGAAGTCTCGGGAAATATTAACTGTCATAATCAATGCTCTCATTATGGCGGGGATGTGGCTGAGCTGCGAGCCTTTGGCTGGATTACACGACCCTTCTGTACTTGCCAGACGACGAGCTGATCAAGTTGTTAGACATGATCAGTCTCCAAAAGGTTAATTCTGTTGCCACAGATACATCACGAGTGCCACTGCGGCCTTTCTAAGCTTGATATCAAAGACGGGCAAGATCATAAGATGAAGAAATATACCAGGATCATCCACCAGCCACGGCTTGTCGCGTCGTGATGACGCGACCTTTGGGTCTCGTGATGGATATGAACGAACGGCATCGAATGAAGCCCATGTCGATGAGATGCATATTGTGAGGCAAGCTATTGCGACTAAGTCACACAGAGTGAATGTGACTGGTCAGAGCTCTATACGTGGTGGCGACGTGAGGCGAGGATCGGCGGTGACCGACATTGTCTAGGTTGCCTCAAATCCACCTTTACTGAAAATCATTTTGGCTTAGACGCTGACTTACCGCAGAGCCACAGAGGCCACGGGGCGGCCTTACCTGCAGCTGGCATCTAAGGCTGTCGGCAGTCTAATCGGCCTAGACGGGCACACTGGCTTCCGGATGCAACCCCGGAGACGGCGGACGGACCTCCGGGGATCCCATGAACCACGGCCACCACCCCGGATCCGTCACACCTTGCGAACCTTGTGGGTGAACGCCCTACATCACCGTCGCATAATGTGACGTCTTCCCGCGCGCGGTTGTCGTTCGTTCTTTTCGTCTGAAGATGTCCCAGTGAGGCTGACTGTATCGACCGTCTCAAAGACTCTGTATCAAGCTGAAGGAACGCCGGGCCCGCTTGGTCTTGATGCCAGGTCCGAGGGTTTTCTGCATGGCCGCTCGGCCGGCAGACGAAGCGCGGGGCGTTCTGTTCCACGCACCATTGACAGACTTCTCTGCAAGCAGAGTTTTTCTCGGTTGGATAGGCCAATCCGGCCCGCCGTACGCCATCGTCTGTGCGGAAAGAACGCAAGATTCACGGCTTGGCCGGGAAGATATCGAAACCTCGGGGACGTTCGAAAGAGGGAACCGCCAACCCGAGACCTGGGGCAGCTGAGTCTAAGGCTTGCTCTGCTTGCCCTGGATCCATGCCGAGCTGAAGCGCGGTGGGGCCGTTGCTGGACTGGAATACGATCCTGATCTATACGAAGTCCCGAGAAGCTTCTCTGCAGGTTAAATCAGCTTCACCGTCAACTTGTAGCCCATTAGCTGAGTGCTCATGTTCGAAAGGATGGGTTTCCGGAAAGCTGAAGTCACAGTGAGAGTGAGAATGGAAAGGCGCCATGTGGGGTTAAAAGTGACGCTCAAGCCACACTCAATTTTCACTGCAACACCGCCGGCTTCAGGCCAAAGAATTGAGATGAGCCGCTTTCGATGTGACGTTGCTGAAATTGTCTGAGAAAGCATGATAGCGACAAACATCGAGCTAGCATCTTTTCGATGCTAATCGTTGTCGGATTCGCATCCTGTCTGCGCCAACGGAACGGCAGCACCTGCGCCCAGCGCACCCCTCAAACTAAAACTCACTGAGAGTCTCACAACGCCGTCTCGCACATCAACACCAAAAACCTCACGATCAACAGCAAAAGACAACGCCCGAACAGCGTCGTGTTGATGTGACAAGAGAGGGATTCGAACCCTCGCCTATTTCTAGACTAGCACCTGAAGCTAGCGCCTTAGACCGCTCGGCCATCTTGCCGTGAATTGAAGGAAACACATCGTGTGGATCCTCAACTGGTGGTTGGTGAGAGCAGCGGCGAAGGTGGGACAAATACGGACCAGTTTTCGCACGCCGAATCGACGTCGCCTATCGTGCGGTGGGGTTCTTGCAAGAGTCAGATTGTGGGATATTGGGGGCGGAAAACTTGAACGACAGCTGGAGGAACCACCGCCGCTCATTAGTAAACCTGCTTCAGAAGGTTTACTTGCAATGCTGCCCCAACAACCCCTCTCGTTGGAACATGAAGATTGGATGACACGGATGACACTTCAGAATGGAAGGCGCCAAGTACGGCGGTCCTGGACGATAACGGGGACCAGGGCGCCTTTACGACATTACGGAGGTACCCGTATTATGGGTTCTAGCCGTTGCACTTCTAAGTTCCGCCAAATCATGGGGTAGAAACTCCAATAGCAACAGCTGAGAGAGAGAGCGCGAGAACGCACCAGAATCGGAGGGCTCAAGCGCTAAGCTGGAAACGGCTTGGAACGTGGCAGCGTGACCCATGCTACAACCGCCCAGGGAGGTGT